CAGCTAACATCAGCAATGACTTTTCATTGAAAGGGTTTCGTGTTTTGTTTTGTTTTTTCGGTAAACAATCTAAACAGAAGAGGAGGCCAAATGACAGTAAATAATACGGAAACCAACACAAATGTAATGCCCCGAAAGGATGTATGGGTTGTAAGGACATTTATATTGCGTTTTGTTTTTGTTTGGTTTCGGTTTTGTTGATGTGTGGATGTGTGTGAGTGTATGGGTTTTGTACCAACAAACCACACACACACATACATGCATGCCCTCCAACGCAATTTCCACAATTTTCCAGGAAGACAAAAAGGGATATTTATTTATGTGTCCTTTCAGGCACGCACGCCCACACTCCTACACACCTACACACACACTAGCTCACATTGATGCACACAAGCATTTGTTTATGTGTTGCATTACTGTCCTCAACAAATCTATTGTTTAGTTTTGTTTCTTTTGTTTTATTTTTATCTTGTTTTGTTTTGTTTTTTTGCTCCTTTATTATTTTTATTTCTCTCTGTTGTCCTGCTCTAAGTAGTTAACAGCTTTTATTTACTAAACAAAAACAAAAACAAGAGAAACCTCCAAGTGTAGCCAGAGAGCTAGTGTGTGTGTGAATGAAAAGGGTTTTGAATGCGAACGAGGGATATGAACGAAAGGGATACGAACGAGACAAAAAGGAAGTGACCGCTTCAATTACACAAAGGCAAATGTTCAAGTGTCAGTTGTGTGTTATTTTTAAAAATTTACATACACACACACTCAGAGATAGAGACGAGACAATTCAAAGGATAAAGTCGAAAGAATCAAGGATAATTATTATCGTCGTTGAGTTGCTACCTTAAAACTTTGTTTTGTATCATTTTCGAAAATAACATTTTAATTGGAAGGATTATGATGATGAGAATAAACACACATACCTACACACATAAATGTGAAAAGTGATGAGATGCTTCGAAATTGCATGTTTTGGCAAAACTAGATGGTGTATCAAAATATCAGTGCTGTTATACAACCATCAAATCTATTGTTTGTTGGAATATTTGCCAAAATGGATTAAATTAATTAGGAAAACACGACTGAAACATTTAAAACACCGAAAATCGACTTGGTCGCTATACTGAAAGCTGAGACCAAATCGATACAAAAATATAAATAAATGCCGAAAATCAGTCAATATGGTGGAGATGTCGATATTTATACATTTTTATACCCTCAGCCATATGGCTAGAGAGGGTATGTATCATTTGATACGGCCAAAATGTGTTAATAACGGTTTTAGACCCTAGGTCTCTTTGGACCAAATCCGTTTCAGGACATTTGGAGTCGATCTAGCAATGTACGCCCGTCCATCCGCCCGTCTGTCTGGCTGATTGGTGCGTACGATAACTCTCGAAGGGAGTATTCGATTTGAAACATCGTAATATTATTATCAAACTATAATTGAGTTCGAATATGGACAATATCGTTTCACCCCTCTTTGTAATTCCCCCTCAAAAAAGGTCGACATTTAAAAATCGTGGCTTGGTCAGGTGTAATAATGAAAAATATCGGTCCATTCCATCAAGTCTATAGAAGTCATAGAAGTTATTATACCCTACATCATAAGGTGGTCAAGGTATTATGTCTTTGTGCATTTGTTTGTACCAGGCAAAAGGAAACGAGATAGATCCATAGTTCCTTTTAATGATCTGCATAGAATTACATTCTGAGTCGATTTATGCATGTCCGTCCGTCCGTCTGTCCATGTATTTTTGTAAACAAAGTACAGCGTATTTATTGCTCGATTTAGAAGAAATTTTGCACAAATCATTTGTTTGGCCCAAGAACGAACCCTATTGAAATTGGAGATAATCGGTAAAAATTTAGATGTAGCTCCCATATATATCTTCGCCCGATTTGCCTTTTATTGTGCACCAAACGTGTAATATCAGTCCGAATAGTATAGAATAGTAATAGAATTTTGCACGTACAATCAGATTGGACCTGAAAATAAGTATGCCAAATTTGATCGAAATCGGTTCAGATATAGCCATAGCTCCCATATATATTATTCATCCGATTTGTTATTTTTGTCCTCCGCAGCCGTAATATGCACTCTGTAACAACAATATTTGGGGAAATATATCAAATACAGCTCAGAAATACATTTGCTAAATTTTATCGAGATCGGTTCAGATTTGGATATAGCTCCCATATATAACTTCGTCCGATTTACCTTTTATTGTGCACCAAACGTCCAATATTTGTCCAAATGGGATGGAATTTGGCACTTACGACCAAATTGAGTCTATAAGCTAGTATGTCTAATTTGGTGAAGATCGGTTCAGATATAGCTATAGCTCTCATATATACATTTCATCCGATTTGTCATATTTGTTACCCACAGTCGTAATATGCACTCCGTAACAACGATATTCAGGGAAATATATCAAATACAGCTCAGAAATACATTTGCCAAATTTTATCGAGATCGGTTCCGATTTGGATATAGCTCCCATATATATTTTTATCCGATTTAAAATAAATTGTGCACCAAATGGGCAATACAAGTCCGAATTTAAAAGATACAAATGCTTCGGCATATTTAGTTCAAAGAACTAAATTATAATTATAATCATAACGTGTATTATTGAATTATCCCATTAAATTAGCAAAGTGGTGTAGGGTATCATAAGACTTTCTTAACTGGTTTTTAAAATAACTTCTGGGGAGAATATCCCAGACAAAAAACAAAGGAACTGATGAGGATTGGTGGCTCTTTACATTACCATCGTTCTCCAATAATAAACAAACGTTGTTTTTATAAAAACAGCAATAAAGGGATTAAGCCTGACCATTTTGCAAGAACAAAATTTTGGAATAATTTTGACTCTTATAAAATGTGATGTAAGAGTTTGAGCTCTTCAAGTTACACACATCACAATATTTTTATTAACCCAAGGTCTGGTGTGAAGATGAAATATTTTAGTCCACTCCTTCTGGTACCTCCCTCACATAGGGTCAAATTTTTGAATATCCCTGAAGCTCATAAAACACGAAATTATTATCCGATTCAGACTTGGTATATCTCAATTTTTCCATCAACACAAGATCTGTTATAAAAATGGTAGAGATCGGACCATTACCTCTGGTACCTCCCCCATAACAGATTAAAGTTTAGAATAACCAAAACGATCATATAATCCGAAATAAGCACATCATATGGGAATGGCTATATTTTATACATGCATATTCACAGTGTTTCTACTAACACAAGATCTGCTGTGAAGATGGAAAATATCCCGTTAATACCGTTTAAATGAAGTTTCTATCCATATCTTAAAAAAAGGGTTAAAAATGAAAATTTCTTGGCTCGGGTGTTGGTTAACGTTTTAACTCAAAAATTCCCCGTATTTTTATCTGCAGTATTGCAATATTGGAGGATCTTGTCCCCTTCTTTTTTGCTCTGCTTTCATAATATGCTGGATCTTCCAAGTAATTATTGAAGAAATTAATTTTGTCGCACAGTATAACAAAAAATTTTTAAAATCTAATTTTTTTCTTGGTAAAATATAGAGCAGATGTTCGAAATGCATTATATTATGTTGACATGTTGCTGATCAGGCCAAATACCTAAGAGGGATCCTAGCTTAGAGAAAACATAACATGTGATATTATGAGATCAATGACTAAACGGATGACTCTAAAATTATACCAGTAAGGAAAAGTAAAAAGTCAGGCGGGTCGACTATATGATACCCTACACCAATTAGCCATTATTTGCACAATAAACCTGAAATCGGATTGAGGATATATATGTAAGCTATTTCCAAATCTTAATCGTTCTCGATATCATTTGGCAAAAGTATTTCTGAGCTCTATAAGATATCTGGTAACAAATATCATTGTTGTCGAATTCATAACTCGAATATGACGGACGAGAGCAATAGCTATATCTCAACCGATTTTTTTCCAAATTAAGGAATTTTTGTTATATATTGGCCATTTGGTGCACGTTTAGTCCGAAATCAGTTAAATATATATTTGGAGCTACATCCAAATCTGATCCAATCTTGATAAAATTTGGCAGAGGTATTTCCGAGCTCTATAAGATATCTGGTACGTATCAAATTACACTGTTGTCGAATGCGCATTACGCGTGTGAGGGACTTAACAACCAAATCGGATGAAACATATATATGAGAGCTATAGCTATATCTAAATCGATTTTCACCAATTTGATGTACTTGCTTCTAAACTGATTTCGGTCGGATATACAAAATTCAGGTCATTTGGACTGATATTGGTTATTTGGTGTACAATTAACCCGAAATCGGTTGAAGATTTATATATGGGAGCTATATCCAAATATGAAATCTGGTATTAAAGATTATTGTTGTGGAATGCATAATTCGCATGTGAGGGACTTTAAACCGCAAATTGGATAGAACATATATGGGAGGTATAGCTATACCTGAACCGATTTACACCAAATTTGATGTACTTACTTCTGGACTGAATTCGGTGGGATGTACTAAAATTCAGGTCATTGGGACTTATATTGGACATTTGGTGAATAATTAAACCGAAAGCGGTTGAAGATTTATGAGAGCTATATCTAAATCTGATTCCATTTAGGTATAGCTCATTCTGAATTTCGTTCTCAAGAATATATGGACAGAAGGACGGATTGACATGCATAAATCGACTCAGAAAGTAATTTTATGAAGATCCTCAAAAGTAACTATGGGCCTATCTCGCTTCCTTCTCCTTTTACAAACAAATGCAGCAACACATAATACCCTTGGTGTAAAGGGAGTTCGGAATATATATCAGCATCATTATATACAAAACTCTATGGGTATATTCAATACAAGTTATTGTTCTCCCATACTCTAAAAAAATTCAAAATTTTATTTTCATATTCCCATTCACGTTCGATAGTTTATTTGCATATGAACATTCATTTGTTTAAACAACATTCTCGTTTGTGAATTAAATACTTGTTTTGTTAACAAAAATATAAAATTAGTTCGGAAATCCCAAAGTCTAAACACCTATTCGCCTAACGTCAATATGAAAAGTTTATCGCTTATTTTAGGAGTTGTTGTGCTCGGTCTATTTTATGGCCAAAGTGAAGCTTTTGACTTTGGAACAGGGGTATGTATTATTGTTTTTTTTTTTTTTTTTCAAACGTTCACAATAAAAATATTAATTTAACAATTTATTTTTTTTTTCAAGTATCCACCAACATTCGATTATGATTAACGCTAATGTCTGTGCGGTATTTCAAGGTTTTATGGCTCGATTTCGAAGATTTGAAGATAAAAATAATTTGAAGTTTTAAATAATAAATTAACAACAAATAAATGTTTTTTTTCTTTTCGGTTCAGAAAGAAATGTTTTCTTTTTATACCCTAAACCACAAGGTGGTCAGGGTATTATGTCTTTGTGCATTTGTTTGTAACATGGAGAAGGATGCGAGATAGACCCCTAGTTACTTTAGAGGATCTTCAAAGCATCACTTTCTGAGTCGATTTATCCACGTCTGTCCGTGAACAAAATGTAGGTCAATTGAGATTAAATTTTCAAAAAAAAAAAAGAAAAAATAAAAATACTTATTTGACCCAAGGACGAACCCCATGATTAGATATTGATATAGCTACCATATATATTCAACCGATTTCGGGTAAATTGTTCATCAAATGGCCAATATAAAGCCAAATGACCTGAATTGTGGCACATCAACCCGAATTCAGAATAGAAGCAAGAATGTTAAATTGTGTGAAATTCGGTTCAGATATAGCTATACCTCCCATATATATATATATATATATATATATATATATATATATATATATATATATATATATATATATATATATATATATATATATATATATATATATTTCATCCGATTTGGTGTTTAAGTCCCTCACATTCGTAATATGCATTTGACAACAATGATCTTTGGTACCAGATATCAAAAACAGCCTAGAAATACCTCTGACAAATTTTATCTAGATCGGTTCGGATTTGGATATAGGCCCCATATATATATCTTCAACCGATTTCGGGTTAATTGTACACCAAATGGCCAATATCTGTCAAAAAATCCTGAATTTTGGTATATCCGACCGAATTCAGTCTAGAAGAAAGTACATCAAATTTGGTTATATATGATTCATGCGATTTGGGGTTTTAAGTCCCCCACATGCGTAATATGTACTCCACAAGAATGATATTTGGTACCAGACATCAGAAACTGCTCGAAAATACCTCTGCCAAATTTCATCAAGATCAATTCAGATAAGGATGTAGCTCCCATATATATCTTTATCCGATATCAGGTTTATTGTGCAGTCTAAAATGGCTAATGACAGCCAAAATAGACTGAATTTTTCCAATTACGACTGAATTCATCCTAGAAACCAGTACTTAAATCTGGAGGAAATCGGTTCAGATATAGCTATAGCTCCCATATAAATGGTTGAACCGATTTGATGCTTAAGTCTCTCCCATTCGTAATATGCAATCGACAACAATGATATTTTGTACCAGATGTCTTATAAAGCTCGAAAATACCAAATTTATCGAGAACGGCTAAGATTTGGATATAGTTCCATTATATATCCTTAATCCGATTTTAGGTTTATTGTGCAAATAACGGCTAATATCAGGCCAAATGGAGTGAATTTTGGGACGTACGTTTCCACTTGGCGGAACTCGTTTCCGATATATATTGTTTAATATATTCCTTCTCGGAGTGATATCATGCACTCTATAGCAATGTTATTTGGTATTAGAGATTAAATTGTCTCTTTCAGATTCAGTTAAAATTGATTCAGAATTGGACATGCCTTTCATATATTAGTTCACTCTGAAACCAAAATTTGGATAACCAAAACAAATATAAAATGGACCAAAAACTGAAAAATTTCTGCTGCACAGGTCGCAATTATAGACCAATCGACATGAAAGTTAACATGGGGCTAGAACTTAGGACTGGGCAGAAGCTTACCAATTTTGATGGTAATACTTAGTGGGTGAAATAGACCATAGCATTTGTGGTAAATAAAAGTCGAATTTTCCATTAAAATGACAGGCCTGAGAAGAGAGTTAAGGAGAGAGAAGAATTCGAACAGCACGACGGAGTGCGTAAATATTGGCCAAATGTCCCTGGTCAAAATGCTAAGGATAATATCTGGGCAGTACTCCGTGACATCATTTCAAAAGCGAAATCTTCCAGAATGGATTTGGACATAAGGGGGCTTTTAACATATTGTAATGTTGTAGAGTATCACATGGTCGGCCCGGCACAACTATAGCCTTTGCTTACTTGTTTAGTAATATTTTTGCAAGAACATCTAGACAACATTGTCTTTAAAGGATTCCTGATTGAATTTTTGAAAATATTTTCAAGGCTTCTATTCCAAGATTCGGGATTTTTTTACGAATATTTTTTGACCAAAGACATCGTGACCTTAAAATCCATAAAAGATTCGTATGTGAATTTGAGTGAGTACATTTTTACACCCTCCACCATGGTATGAAGGGTATATTTAGTTTGTAATTCCGTTTGTAACACCTAGAAATATACATTTTAGACCCCACAAAGTATATATACTCTTGATCAGCGCACAATTCTATGTCGATTAAGCGATGTCCGTCCGTCTGTGGAAATCACTCTAGCTTCCGAACGAAATGAAGTAGGTTGATAAAATTTTTCTCAAATGTATATTATGTCTGTAGGATTTTTGGTATTGAAAATTGGCCAATATAACAGTACCTCCCGATATTCGATATTTTAACGATTTTAGCGACATTTTTCACCGGAATTGTTTAAAAATTGGTATTTGAACTTCGTAATGGATACTACAGCCTAGGACAGAAAATTGTCTATGCAGTTCTACGTCTTCGTACAACCCCCATATAACGGTACCTCCGGATATTCGGTATTTTGATGATTTTAGCGAATTTATTTACCGGAATTGTTTCAAATTTGGTATTTGAAGTTCGCAATGGATACTACAGCCTAAGACAGAAAATTGTCTGTGCAGGTCTACGTCTTCGTATAGCCTCCCTATTTTCGGTATTTTGATGTTTTTAGCGAATTTATTCACCGGAATTGTTTGAAATTTCGCATTTGAATTTCGTAATGTATACTACAGCCTAAGACAGAAAACTGTCTATGCAGGTCTACGTCTTCGTAGAACCCCCATATAACGGTACCTCCGGATATTCGGTATTTTGATGATTTTAGCGAATTTATTTACCGGAATTGTGACAAATTTGGTATTAGAAGTTCATAATGGATACTACAGCCTAAGACAGAAAATTGTCTATGCAGGTCTACGTCTTCGTAGAACCCCCATATAACGGTACCTCCGGATATTCGGTATTTTGATGATTTTAGCGAATTTATTTACCGGAATTGTGACAAATTTGGTATTAGAAGTTCATAATGGATACTACAGCCTAAGACAGAAAATTGTCTGTGCAGGTCCACCTCTTCGTAAAGCCTCCATATATCAATACCTCCCTATATTCGGTATTTTGATGATTTTAGCGAATTTATTTACCGGAATTGTTTCAAATTTGGTATTTGAAGTTCATAATGGATACTACAGCCTCTGGCAGAAAATTGTCTGCGCAGGTCCACGTCTTCGTATAGGCCCCATGTATCAGTACCTCCCTATATTCGGTATTTTGACGGGTTTAGGTACAATACTCACCGAAATTGTATGAGATGTCGTATTTGAACTTCGTAATGGATACTACAGCTTAGGACAGAAAATTGTCAGTGCAGATCCACCTCTTTGTATACCCCCATGTAACGGTACCTGTCGATATTTGGTACTTTGAAGATTTTAACGACATTATTCACTGGAATTGTTTCAAATTTGGTACTTGAAGTTCGTAATGGATACTAAATGCTATGACATGTCTTTGTATAGCCTCCATATATCAATACCTCCCGATATTCGGTATTTGGATGATTTTAGCGACATTATTCATCAGCTTTTTTACTTGTTATTTATATCGTATGTGGGTAATATATTCGTATTCAATGTTAAATCATAATATATATCTATCGGCATATTTTAATAGTAGAATAATACAAGAAGTTGTTTCGATCCGAAATAGATTTTATTTCTTTTTTGACTGAAATATTTTTTTTACAAATTGTGTTTTTTTTTTTTTTTTTGTGTTCCCATGGGATGTTAACCAAATCTAAATCTTTTAGGAATTTTACCACCAATTTGCTGGCCACCAGATTGTAAATTCCAAAAATCGAATAGAATATTAAAGGGAGGGGTTTTTAATTAATAGTTTTGTAATTGAAACGAGTAATGATATCAAATATGACTTACATCGACGGTCAAAATGCAGCCATACAAAAGAGCCATTGCAAAAATTTTTATGGAATTTAAAAAAATCATTTTGACAAGTACTGATTTGAATTTTAAATAAATGCGTTGCAGTGATTTTTATATATATTTTTTGTAGGTGTGCATTTTTGAGATGTTTTCAAATGGAAATGTAGCAATCTATTGCAATAAATAATTTCGCAAATCGGAACGTGACTAAAGTCTAAGTTTTTTGTAACATTTATTTTAAATACCCTTTTAATTGTATGCAATGACCACAATATTACTGCTCATTGTTCCTGCCAATATCAGAAATGTTAATGACTCTTAGAGTCGAGTATAAAATGTGCAATACTTTCAATTTTGAAATCATTCTCAATAGTTCATCACTTGAGAAAACGTTTAACAAAAAATTAAAACTTCAAAAATGAAACTGATCGCTGTTATCTTGGGTGTCATGTTGGTTTCGCTTCCCTACATTTCGGCCTGTTCTCAAGGTGTAAGTATTATTCGAATTTTTATTCAATTCGCACCGCAGACCAAATTAATAATATTTCCCATCTTGCTTTTGTTTTTGACAGTGGGCCAGTGACGGCGTTGCCGCTGCAAATAGAATGAAACAAAGAAGACAACAGGGCTGTTAAGGCTGCCAAAAGGGTCACTTTGAATGGATTCCGACAAAAAATAAACCATGAAATCAATCGAAGCAATTTAATAAAATAGATAATCTGAAAAGTTATTTTTTATCGTTCCCAAAATGGGTGGTATTTTCAGACTACATTCTGAATAAAAATTGGAGTATATGAAAATTCAAAGATCCGTACCTGGAACATAGACAATTGGGAGAGCTAATAAAAATAGGAATTGAACCAACTCTTTAAGAAAGTGCTCCAAAGAAAGGATTTCAATGTTAACAGGAAACAATGTGAACACCGATTTATAGCGCTATACATTTTTTGTTATAGACATAAAACCAATATTTTAAAAAACCAGTATTCCCTTAAAAATTACGATACGATATCTATCTACATAATATCTCTAGCAAAAAAACTAAAATTTTTACAATCAAATCCCCTACTTTTGATCCCTCTGTCATGCTAATAGGTATTCAAATCAGGTCAGGTTCAATGAGGGTCACTCTCGGTCCGAAGGCGTCAGACAAGGCTGGATTTTTGAAAATTCGATACGAAAAGTATTAAAAGGTACTGTATATGGTACCTTTTGTATTTGAGGAAGAAGTAGAGAGAGAATTTGAAATGAAGGTAGCGCATAATGGATGAACCAGATAATTTTTTCCATTGCGAGGTCTTAAATGCCAAATTAAACCAGTAAGAAGCATTTGTATCGTTTACATTCGGACTTGTATTGCCCATTTGATATATGTGGGAGCTATATCCAAATCTGAACCGATTTTGATAAAACTTGGCAAAATATTTCTGAGCTGTATTTCATATATTTCCCTGAAAATCGTTGTTACGGTGTGCATATATATATACAACAAATCGGATGAACAGTATATATGGGAGCTATAGCTATATCTGAACCAATCTTCATCAAATTTGACATACTAGCTTCTAGACTCAATTCTGTCGCATGTGCCAAATTCCATCCCATTTGGACAAATATTAGACGTTTGGTGTACAATAAAAAGTAAATCGGACGAAGTTATATATGAGAGCTATATCCAAATCTGAACCGATCTCGATAAAATTTAGCAAATGTATTTCTGAGCTGTATTTGATATATTTCCCTCAATATCCTTGTTACGGAGTGCATATTAAGACTGCGGAGGACAAAAATAAAAAATCGGATGAACAATATATATGGGAGCTATAGCTATATCTGAACCGATTTCGATCAAATTTGGCATACTTATTTTTAGGCCTAATTTGGTTGTATGTACAAAATTCCATACTATTCGGGCTGATATTACACGTTTGGTGCACAATAAACAGGAAATCGGACGAAGATATATATGGGAGCTATATCTAAATTTTTACCGATTACCTCCAATTTCAATTGGGTTCGTCCTTGGGCCAAACAAATGATTTGTGCAAAATTTCATCTGGATCCGGTAATAAATGCGACCTGTACTTTGTTTACAAAAATACATGGACAGACGGACGGACGGACAGACATGCATAAATCGGCTCAGAATGTGATTCTATGCAGATCATCAAAAGGAATTATGGTTCTATCTCGTTTCCTTTTGCCTGTTACAAACAAATGCACAAAGACACCACCTTGTGGTGTAGGGTATAAATATTCGCGGGAAAATGTGATTAGGATTATCAAAATACCGAATATTGGTGGGTACCTTCATATGTGCGCTATAGGAAAATATGGATCAGATATTCAATATTCTGCTACCGGAGCTAGAACCCATTATGATCTACAAATACCAATTGGAAAAAATGTGGAAAATTCTTCAAACTACGGAATATCGGGAGGTACCATTATAAGGGAGCTATGGGAAACGTGGACCTTTGCATACAATGTTCTGCCACCGGAGCTAGAACTCATTATGACCTACAAAATTTTCAGACAAATCCATGGAAAAATGTGGCAAAAATCATCAAAATACCGAATATTCGGAGATACCCTTATATGGCGGCTATACCATGATTTATCTCATTTTCAATACCAGCCATCGTAGACACTATTCCAATTGTTGGGCCAAATTTTGAAGCTCTACGCCAAAAAATATGGGCTATATCGTGATTTCAACAGACAGACGGACATCTGTAGATTACTTTAGAATTTTATGCTGATCATGAGTATACAGGGTGAGATAAAAAACTGCTACAAAGTAAAACGACATAAGTTTTACATTTTCTTTTTTAAATTTTATTGAATGAAAGCAAAAAATGTCGGAAATAGCATCAAATTTTAGAATAAGTACAGATTTGTTCGAATTGGTCACCTTTGGCATGAATTATGGCCTTCAAACGGCCAATGGAACCATCACACGCTGTCCGAATGATGCTCTGCGGTATTTTGGCATATTCTCGGCGAAGCGCCTGCTCGAGATGATCTTCAATTTGGTATTTTTCAGTGCCAACCTTGCTTTCCAAAATACTCCAGACACAAAAGTCCAACGGATTGGTATCCGGAGATTTTTGTGGCCATTGTGCGCTGGAAATGAAGCGAGGAACCTCATTTTATTACCATTCTTGGGTGGCGCGTGCTTAGTGCGATGGTGCTAAGTCCTGTTGGAGTGTCCAAGGTCTCACCCTCCAGAATATTTTCGCGATAATATTCGGCATTTATTCTGATGCCACGGTCCATTAATACCAGCGGAGAGCGACCATCGGCTGTTATGGCGGCCCACACCATCACCATGGCCGGCGCTTGAGTTATGGTGGCCAACCGAAGGTGCCATTTACAGCTGACCCCTTTGGTTTACTTGCCACGATCATTTTGTTGGTTTACAAACTGCTGAACAAAGAATGTTTTCTCATCGGAGAAAACCAAATTCGGCGGTTCACCACTTTCGGCCAAGCGAAGCAACTCTTTGGCCCTTTTGAGTCTATTTTCTTTTTGTTGTGGCGTAAGTTCTTGCACTTTGTGGAATTTCAATGGCTTTACCCCGAGCTCATTTTTCAATATTTGCCGAATGGAATATTGAGATATGTTCAGCTCACGAGCCATTTTTCGATCAAGTTGCTTCTTTACTATTCGAACCATTTCTGCTGATTTTGCTGTTTTCTTCCATCCACTTCCTTGACGTCGGGTTACGCTACCAGTATCACCGTAACGATGGTACGAGACACAAAATATTTATTCACATTTAAGTGCTGGAGTGCTCTAACGATAGCCATTTGTGGTTTTCCAGCAAAATATAAAGAAATCGCACTATCATGTCCGAATTCCCTCACGAATTATGTTTTTCCTGAAAATTCTCACCAAAATGCTTTTGTACGCTTGTAAACAATATAATGAGCTGTCACTGGAATAATTTTAACAGCTGTCCGGTGAGTGGCTTAGAATTGACAGCAGTCTGAAATTGGTTGCAGTTTTTTTCATCGCACCCTGTGATTTTCAATCTTCCATCTTTGAGTCATCCCAAAGCCAAGTGTCGTATTTCAGTTTTTATTGCCCAAGGTTTTAAGACTTAATCATTAGTAACAATAGGCTATTGTTCTCGAAAAATCGTCAATAAAAATTCATTTTCATTCACATGAATTTGAAATAAATCTCGGTGGAAAACAATGGTAAGTTTTTACATTTTAATTTCGCCTTTGTAACACCGTAAGTAGTAACCACTATTTCTGTGGAATAACCGCAAGTTGGAAGAGCACACTCTCAAAATGAAATTAATTGGAATTGTTTTGGGCGTTTGTTTAATCGCACTGCCCAGTGCATTCTGTGAGCCATTGCCTCCTGTAAGTAAAATGATATCCTTAATTGAAATTAAATTATTAATATTATTATAAAATATTTCAATAGTTTAACTGGAATCGCACTTGGGGATAGAAAAAAACTCCAAATATTTGAGCAATGATAGAAATGAAGTTGATGTTATAGTGAATCATGTTTGTTTTTTTGAAATTTCAATAAATATTATAACCCAAATAAATACAATATTTGTAATTTTAAAATATCGATAAATTTATTTATTTTAGATTTTATGTAAATAGTAAATATTTTAGCTAGTGAGATTGTTATGCGGAAACGAATTACAAACCCTAAATTTTAGACTATTCAGTTACGAAAAAGACTTTTAACATATCAATAAATGAGCGATAATATATAAGCTTGGGCCATTCCAGAACCTGATTTTATATTGAAACACCGTTTCTGATAATATGATCTTATAAGGATTTCAAAATATACAAATTAACTTCTTCGCTTTTTTCGAAGGCCGAATTTTAAATCAATGCGTCAATTTAGCAAATAACAGCGAAAAATTTTGAAAAAAAAAAAAAAAAAAAAAAAAAAAAAATAAAAATAAACAAAAAAATTGAATACCCTCCATAAAATAAAATCCGTTGAAAAATCTGTAAAATTCTTAAAAATACTGAATATAGCCGTTATATTAGGGTCTATACGACGACGTGGACCTGCATAGGCAACTTTTGTCATAAGCCATTACAATATTCAAATGCGAAACTAGAAAAAACAAGTAAAAAAGTTGTAAGTTCGGCCGGGTCGAACTTTGTATACACTCCACCATTTGCAAAGAAATTTTGCAATTTTCCAAAAAAAAAAATCCGTTAAAAATTCTGTTAAAATAAAAAATACGAAATATAGCCGCTATATTAGGGTCTAAACGACAACGTGGACCTGCATAGGCAACTTTTGTCATAAGCCGTTGAAATATTCAAATGCGAAAACTGAAAAAAAAAAAATCGTTGAATAATGTAGTTAAATTCATCAATATAGGGAGGTACTATTATTTAGGGGGGTATACCAAAATGTGGATCTACACAGACACTTTTCTGTCATAGGCTGAAGTATCCATTACGAACTTCAAATGCCAAATTTGAAACAATTCCGGTGAAAAATGTCGCTAAAATCATTAAAATACCGAATATCGGGAGGTACCGTTATATGGGGGCTATATGAAAATGTGGACCTGCACAGACAAATTTCTATCATAGGTTGTAGCATTCATTATGGACTTCAAATAACAAATTTGAAGCAATTCTGGCGCTTAAATCACCAAAATTCCAAATATAGAGAAGTACTATTATATGGGGGATATGTGGATGTGGACCTGCACAGACAATTTTCTGTCTTAGGCTGTAGTATTCATTACGAATTTCAAATACCAAATTTGAAACAATTCCGGTGAATAATGTCGCTAAAATCATCAAAATTCCGAATATAGGGAGGAACCGTTATATGGTATGGTATGGCACAGACAATTTTCTGTCATCAGCTGAAGTAACCATTACGAACTTTCAATGCCAAATTTGAAACAATTCCGGTGAATAATGTCGCTAAAATCATCAATGTACCGAATATCGGGAGGTATCTTTATATGGGGGCTATACCCATTACAAACTTCAAATACCAAATTTCAAACATATCCGGTGATTAATGTCGCTGTAATCACCAAAATACCGAAAATAGGGAGATACCATTATATGGGGACTATAGGAAAACGTGGACCTACTGGCCCATTCAATACCAAAAGTCCTGCAGATATAATACACATTTGGGTAAATTTTTATCAACTTACTTCATTTCGTTCGGAAGCTAGAGTGATTTCCACAGACGGACGGGAATCGCTAAATCGACATAGAATTTCATGCTGACCAAAAATATATGTACTTTGTGGGGTCTAAAATGTATATTTCGCTACAAACGGAATTACATACTTAATTTACTTTCCATACTATGGTGGAGGATTTAAAAATAGCAGGAGATTAATATATCCTTTCAGAATCTGAAAAACCCAATTACAACTATTTTGTTTGGAAAGATTATTCAAAATCTTCAGCTTACTTTAAATCCGAATGTTAATTTCGCATTTTAGGAGTTTCATGGATATTCAAAATTTTGACCCCTTGTGGGGGAGGTATCAGAGGGAGTGGATCGATACATTCCATCCTCTCAGCAGATATTGTGTAAGTGGAAATAATGGGATGTGTGAAATATGAAGTGAACGGGATGCTTATTTCGGATTTAATAATCGTTTCGTTTATTCGAAACTTTGACCTGTTGTGGGGGAGGTACCAGAAGGAGTGGTCCGATATCTAACATATTTTTCTGTCGTATGCTGTAGTACCTATTACGAACTTTTAAATACGAAATTCAAAAAAATTCTTGTAAAAAATGTCGCTAAAATCATCAAAATACCGAATATTGGGGGTACCGTTATATGGGGGCTATACGATATCGTAGGCCTTCACAGCCCACATTCGAACCTAACCTGCCTGCAGACAACCGGAATGATTAATATACTCTCCTTATTACTTATGGAGATTACAAAATTGTAAGATGAGAAGATTGTTGTTTTGAGTAAAAGCCAACAATCCTCGTGAAACATTTTATATTTTTATACCCTCCATCATCATCTATGGAGGGTATATTAGTTTTGTCATTCTAAGACAATTTAGCGATGTCCGTCTGTCTGGTGTAAACACGCTATTTGAGATAGAGGGCTAAAATTTTGGATACATGCGTACTTCCCAGTAGGCAGGATAAGTTCGTAAATGGGCCATGTCGGTCGGTACCCTCTTTATTCGGTATTTTGATGATTTTAGCTACATTATTCGATATTAATGGGTACTACAGCCTATGACAAACAATTACTTGTGTAGGTCTGCGTCTTAGTATATTCCCCGCTTAAAGCTCCTCATTTAAACGGTCATTTTGGGATTTTGTTAAAATTTTACAAGTTCCTTCCAAATGGTGGAGTGTCGAACTTTGCTGCTTTTTTTTTAATTATTTATATTCTGATTTCTAAGTAACCATTTAATTATAGAATTTCCTTTCTGTAAGTAACCATTTAATTATAGAACTTCATCATCCCCCGATGCAAAATCAAACGAAATCCATATATTGAGTGAGAGCAACAGAACAATTTATTTACTGAAACATTTTTTATTTATCATATTTTACACAGGCCTCGCTCCTGCCGTACATCAGAGCAAATCCCATGGCTAATGGTAGGAACTTCATTTTGAAATATGTTTTGGGTAGATTTTACGATAACCGTAATAACAAAATGACTTGAATTCAAGACTCCCATTGAAAAGTTTAAATACTTTTTTGAACGTTTAACTTTTCCAAAACTCATTAATGCATACCTGGGTCTCAAAACTTTAATGGGTATTTTGATGTAAAGAAAACGTGATTTCGCATATTTCTCGTGAAGTCCAGACAAAAAATTAAAGAATGGGAGATATATTATTCCCAAATTGATGAATACACAAAAAACAATAGAAAAACAAATAATAAATAAATAAAATATAATTATTAATGTTTTTTTTTTATTTAAAAAATAATAATTATTTTCGACCGCCTGACAATACCCTTTTGTAGTGTATAAAAAAGGGTAGATATTTTTAAAATGCTAATAAATATAAGAATTTCTAACATGTGCCTCATTGGCATTAAAAACCAGAATTGAATAAGAAATATATTGAATATATATTTTTTTGTATTTTTTATTTATTTACATTTTTTGTTAAAAAACATGAAATAATATTTGGCATTTATTTATAGAAATTATTCATAGTCATAGTAATCCCTAAAATTAAATCCATAGGGTTAATTTCTACGAAAGTACCTTGCAATAAATACCATGAAAAATTGGTAATTTTTCCAGTAACTCTAGTCACAATGAACGCCCTGTCATTCCTTTTAGTCTTTGCTTTAATCCTGTATTGTGGACAATTGGTTAGTTGAATCAAGGCGATAATACTTCATTTCATTTTTTTCACATTTTGTTTTTAACCTTTTCTTTTTTATAGTGTCGTCAAAAGCAGAATAACCTGAGAGGATAAAATAAAAAATTCTTTGTAGTCAATAATAAATTTATTTATGTAAATATATAAAATGTGATTTTAAAATCTGGGCCCGAGTTTGTGAAATATATTAATATACATGTATGAAACAGCCAGGTCAAAATTTTATGCCGGGAAATTGTTGAATAAGTAAGAATTCCTAACAAATTTCCTTAAAAAATCTACAATTTGTGGAAATTAAACCTTCAAAGGTACTTTTATAATATCCGCGGTTTTCGAGAGTGATTATCCTGGGAAAATACAAGAGTTCTTGGCGGGAATTATATATCTATATTTTTGTACAACGACTTATTGTGTAAGGAACATTTTTTAATAATATCATGCACAAGATTCTTTAAAAAATCATAAGAATATATTTTACAAAAAGAGTAAATGAATAATATAAAAATATAAAATAAAACAATAAATAAATAAAGCATGAAGTCCTTAAAAATGCTCTCGAAAACCAAACGTATTTTCATTCGCAATTTTTTGCCCGTTAATCCTAAAAATAATTTTCAAACACTTCTATAATTTTTTGTATATTCAAGATTGAAAATGGTAATTTTTACAAAAAGATCTCGAAAGAATATTAAAAAATCACGATTTTTTTAGCTTGAATTTCTCGTCGACTTAAGTAAGCTTTGCTGCTGTGCCCAGAGTCTTCATAAGAACCCACAGAACCGTATAAAAAAAGGAGAGAGACTTCTACCTTTCCTGGCGGTGTAAATCCGAAGTTTAATTGATTTGAATACTGAATTACAATATGCTCGTGTTGAAATACGATTAGATAAATATGGAATATAGGATGGCGAATGTACTTCCGAGGTGCTGGGAAATTCGAAGTAGAGTTGTTCAGTTGATGATCGGGAATTTAAATTTGGAAATTTTCAAAAAATAAAATCCTTAGAAAAAATTCTGTTAAAATTTTAAAAATACCGAATATAGCTGTTGTACTGGGGTCTATACGACGTGGACCCCAACATACAAAGGTATTGTTTGTCATAAGCCATTACCATATTCAAATTCGAAACTTGAAATAAACGGTGAATAATATAGCTAAAATCATCAAAATATCGTATATAGGGAGGTACCGTTATATCGGAGCTGTGCAAACCTGACCTGGACCAGCATAGACAATTTTCTGTCACAGGCTGTAGCATCCATTACGAACTTCAAATACGACATCTCAAACCATTTCGGTAGGTATTGTACCTAAACTCGTCAAAATACCAAATATAGGGAGGTACTGTTATATGGGGCTATAGGCTGTAGTATTCATTTCGAACTTCAAATACTAAATTTGAAACAATTCCGATGAATAATGACGCTAAAATCATCAAAATACCGAATATCGGGAGGTACCGTTATATGGAGGCTATATGAAAACGTTGACCTACATGGCCCATTTGCTAACATACTGGAAAAATAAACATGTGTGCAAAATTTTTGCAAAATTCTATCTCAATTCGTTCGAAAGATAGCGTGACTACAACATACAGACAGACAGACGAACATCGCTAAATCGACTAAGATTTTTACGCTGATCAAGAATATAATACTTTGTTGGGTCTGACATGAGTATTTCGAGGAGTTCCAAACGGAATGACAAAGTTAATATACTCTCCATAGTATGGTGGAGGGTATAAAAATGGAATTGATTGTACGGGCTATATACAATTGATCGGTGCTGAACGAGAAATAAAATTTTAGGCATGATGTATAGCATGTAGCACTGTCTTATTGAAACCACATGTCACGGCTCACCAGCACTCTTTATTCTCAATTACGTTACGATTCGCACAATTTTTGAAGAAACACGGTTAAATGATGCCCCAAACGAAAAAACCGCTGTTTCTTTGTTTGGAAGCATTGGTAGCTTTAGTAATGCTACTTGCTGTTCTTCACTCCAAAATCGACAGTTCCGCTAATTTTCGTGACCAATGTGAAGAAATATGGTTCGATTAAATGAGCACCAGATTCCTTTTAAATAGAACATCCCCGAGCCTCTATCAACTTAACATCTGGTATGAAGATGGAATATATCCTTCGGGTGCCTTCCCCTCAACAAATAATTATAATTCATATAAAATGTAAAATATGCATCCGATTATCTTCTATTTTCAGACATCCCAATGTTTTTTATTAACATAAGATCTGGTGTGAAGATGATATATATCGAAATGACTATTCTGGTACCTCTGTCATAAACCGGTCCAAATTTTGTGTAACCCAAAAAATAATTGCGAAATAAGCATCCGATTTTTTCTGAATTTCACTTATTTCAATATTTTTTACTTACATAAGATCTCTTGTGAAAGTGGTAGATATCGGTCCACTCCACTCCTTCTGTACCTCCCCCACAAAGGGTTACAATTTTCAATAATTATATTTCTCATATCTTGTGAAAAAAATCAGAGATTCTTGGAGTATTCCAACATATTTCTCAACTAGAGACCTGATGTGAATCTGGAATATATCGGTCACTCCTTTTGGTACCTCCTCACAAAAGGTTCAACCTTTGATTAACAATTATTAGAAACGAACATATGATTTTCTTCAAATTTAAACAATCCACTATATCTGGAGCCTCACGCACAATTTAACATTTTCCAAAAAACACATATACAGGGAGAGATGAAAAACCTGCAACCAACTTCAGACTGCTGTCAGTTCCAAGCCACTCGTCCGACAGCTGTTAAAATTATTCAGTGACAGCTCATTATATTGTTTACAAGCGTAAAAAAGCTTTTTGGTGAGAAATTTACACAAAAAAAGTTATTCGTGATGGAATTCAAGCGTGATATTGTGATGTGTGTATTGGCCGCATGGCCGAAAGTCGTCAACTGTCGTATTTTGTTGTTTTTTTCGATGAGAAAACATTCGTTGTCCAGCAGTTTCTAAACAAGCAAAAATATCTTGTTTACTTGCCAAAGAGGTCAGCTGAAAATGTGCACCTTCGGTTGGCCACCAGAACTCAAGCACCGGCCATGGTGATGGCGTGGGCCTCCATAACAGCGCTTCGACGTGAATGGGCCAAAATACCGCAGAGCAACATTTGGACAACGTGTGTCGGTTTCATTGGCCGTTTGAAGGCCATAATTCGTGCCAAAGGTGACCAATTCGGACAAATCTAAACTTATTTTAAAATTTGATGCTATTTCCGAAATTTTTTGCCTTCATTCAAAAAATTAAAAAAAAAGAAATGTAAAAATTATGCCGTTTGACTTTGTTGCTGTTTTTTTTTTCTCACCCTGTATATGGGAGCTATACTTATATCTGAACCGATTTTCTCTAAAATTTGAAGCACCTGCTTTTAGTCTGTATTCCGCCGGAAGTGCCAAAATGCAGTCCATCTGCTCTGATATTGGCCATTTGGTGCTCAAAAAAAAAAAAAAAAAAACCTAAAATCGGATAAAAATATATATGGGAGCTATATCCAAATCTGAAACGATATTGACAAAATTTTAAACACATATTTCTGAGCTGTATCTGATATTTGGTAACAAAGATTATTATAGTGGAGGGCATATTTCGGTTGTGAGGGACTTTAACACCAAATCGGAAAAGACATTTATATGGGAGCCATAGCTATATCTCTACCGATTTTCATCAAATTTGAAGTACTTGTTTCTAGAATGAATTCGGTCGGAATTACCAAGTCATTCCCAATTTAAACTCATATTAGCCATTTGGTACACAATAAGGCTGATATCGGATGAAGATATATATGGGAGCTATATCCTAATCTGATTGACTTCGGTACAATTTGACATGTGTAATTTTGAACTCCAAAAGTTATCTGGTACCAAAGATCATTCTTGTGGAATATTTAATTAATAACTATTAAAAAAGCAGTAAGTTCGGCCGGGCCGAACTTTGAATACCCTCCACCATTTGGAAAGAATTAGAAAATTTTCAAAAAAATAAAATCCATTAAATTTTATTTTAAATGATATTGTGGACCTATTAAGACAAATCTATGTCTGGGTGTTTTCAGATAATTCTATTGGAAAAAGTGGCTAAAATCATCAAACTACTGAATATCGGGGGTATATTCGATATTACGGACCTATATAGACAATTCCCTTTCAGGGGGTAAAGTGCTCACAAAGAACTCCTTGTGTGCATTTTCAGACAATACGTTTTGAAAATGTGGCCAAAATCATCAAAATACCGAATATCGGGGGTACCGTTACATGGGTGCTATACGATATCATTAACCTATATAAAGAATTCTCTGTCGGGGAGTAAAGTGCTCACAAAAAGCCCCTTGTGTACAATTTCCGTTGAAAGATGTGGCTAAAATCATTAAAATACCGAATGTCGAGGGTACCGTTATATGGGGGCTATACGATATCGTGGACCTATATAGATAATTCTCTGCCGAGGCATAAAGTACCCACAAGGAACTTCTTGCGTGGATTTTCAAACAATTCCGTTGAAAACTGTGGCTAACATCGTCAAAATACCGAATACCGGGGGTACAGTTATATGGGGGCTAAACGATATCGTGGACCTATATAGATGATTCTCTGCCGAGGTATAAAGTACCCTGCCTGCAGACAAAAGAGAGATCTATGTCTTCATTCGTTTAGACTGTAGCGTGGTTACAACAGACGGACATACGGACGGACAGGGCTAAATCGTCTTAGAATTTTACTCTGTTGGGTCTAAAATGATTACTTCGATGAGTTACAAACGGAATGACGAACATAATATACCCTCCATACTATGTATGGTGGAGGGTATAAAAAATAAAAAAAATAAACAAATATCTCCATATCCAAATTGTACTCATGTAATGCGTGTGTGTGTGTAGTTGTGATTATGATTGTGGCAGGATCAAATTTACATTTCATTTTAGCAGTTACTCCTCCTTTTTGTTGTTAACACACCGAGAAAAGGAAAAGAAAAAACATAAACACAATAAAATAAAACAAATCCTGGACATGTTCCAAACTCAGAAGCGTTACACGATGACGACGAGGTTGGCGATGATGATGATGATGAGCCCGGGTGTAAGGAAAGAATTATTTTTACACCCATAAACATAATTCCAAAAT